CTACGGAAAATTGATGCAAAATGGTGTGAAGATTTGGCTTTGTCTGATATGGGTTCTAAAATAGTCACACACTTTTCTGTTTATGCTAACAGTGTCCAGCCGTTTGCCTGCTGCTTTAATGATTTAAGTGACGACTTCACGAAAGTCCTCAAATCTCACCACTTTCCATGTCGGATTTGGCCCCTGTACCGGCGGCTTTTGCAATCGGGAATTTATTTCAAAGGCGGCATCAGACTTTCTGAATTGGCAAAGCATTCGCTAAAGAAGTATGGAGCATTTTAAGAATGCACGAAGGCTGTGTGCAAGTCATGACAGGAAAAAACATCATGTTTACTTAATGTCGCCTGACTTTCCATATCGGATAGCCGTTCTGATGAAGTGATGCTTTTTATCCTGCTGCGTTTCAGCGGCAGAAACTTATTTTATTCGTTGAATCATCGTCAGACATCATGAGGGTCGGTCATGGACAAGTTCATGCTGTTGGTGGCTGAGTATCTGAATCTTTCCAGGAAGGTTGGAAGCTCGTCAGCACGGCAAAGGTATATAGCTTTACTCGTGTAAAGTACGCGATATACTCTAAAATGAGCCTGTTGTTGGTCTGTAGTATTTTGGAAGATTCACTTCGAGGAGGGCTTCATTGCTATGCTGGTGATAATCTTACTGCCAACCATTTTTCCAACGTGTATGGTAGTAGAAATCTGTAGCACTGCTAAAATTATAATTATTACATTGTTGTTATTATTATTATAAATCTTATCACCTTGATACTTTGGTATGATGCCAAACAGACATGGTACTTTTTGTTCCTGAGATGGAGTCTCTCAACGTGGAGAAAATAGGAGAGATGGTGTCAATAACATATTTTGCGCCAACCAAGTGGGCTGTTTTCGGGAAACCAGCTGGGACTTCATTCGTCGCAATGGCCTTGCGATTAAATCTTTGAACATTTAATCCACCATATCACAGACTGTGGATGGAAAGTTTAACCATCGTTCGAAACAGTCGCTGAAATTATCCCGAAGGACCAAGGAACTGATCCCACAGTATCCTCGCAGACAAAGTTCAGTCTTAGAGTACACAAACTCAAAAGCGAAGGCGTTTTCGCCACTTTATGAAGAAATGACGACGAGCGTCTCGAACAGGTGCTAAATACCTCTTAACTAGGCCTTTGTTTCAAGGTCAGCCGAAAGCCCAAACGGCAATGGATTATTGAAATCAGGAAATGAACCGACATTACCAGTTATGCCGTTATGGCACACCAGCCAAAGTGAAATGAAGCCTATTTACAATAATAGTAGCTTGCAAACTTTTGTGAGAGATGAGTGGATGCCTCGTAACTGCTGCGTTATCAGCACTGCCAAAGTAACTTGGAAGGTGCAAGTCAAGGCGTGCGTCACGAAAAAGGTAGCCATGATTTGAACCCGTCAAGAATCTCTTAAATGAAAATGGTCCTAGTGAAGTACAGAGGTGAAAGAAAGTTTCTATGCCACCATGATGTTGGTCGTACTTTCACATTAGATACCGTGTCTGACAGGTTCTTTCACAGTTTGTGATCAGCCGCTGATTAATGCTTTGATGCCATCATTTACGGTAGTTTGGTTTTTAAGGCAGTATCTACAGCTCTCTATGCATTGCAACATTGAAAGGTGTACATTGAAACAAGAAAAGACAGGAAGACGAGTGAATGGACAAGAGCACAAACAAGAGTCTGCAGTGTCATCGTCCGAGTGCAGAAGTTAGAGACAGTGGGCAGGACAAGTTGCAAGGGGAACAGTTCATCGCTGTACCAGAGATACAGTGGACTGAGTTCCGAGAGAAAGCAAAATGACCGTAGGAAGACTTCCAGATGGACGACGGGATGATCGAAAGAAGCTGAATCTTTGCATCAAGATCGATAAAATTTGCAAAAAACAGTTCAATGCAAAGTTTTGGAGAGACCTTCGTCCAGAAACGAATCGGAAACGACTGTTGATGACAGCTATGTGGCGAATGCAGCTTGCATTCCCACAACGTGATACTCGTTTATTGACATTTGGAGGGCAACGGCGAACGATTCAGCGGAAGTTCGACTCTCTGATCGTTAGGTTGACCTAACCTGACCGAATAGAAGCAATCCGAATGATACTTGGAC